TTGGAGGTGGCAGTTACTGAAAATACAGAACTAAAACACTGATCTGTCATCCTGTGACTTGAGGAGTGATCCTGAGTTGCCTATGACAAGGTCCTCCTCTCTCATGCCCTCTATTGTTCAATATTCTGTGTATGACCCAAGTGCAGACAGACTATGCCCTTAAAAAGTTCACAGATGATAGCTAGAACACATGTATTTTTTAAAATAATTACTCAAGAAATATCTTGACATTCTAAGAACATTAGAACAAAATTAAGATGAAAAATTTTAAAAATGGATCTAAAGTTTCTTATTTAAGTATTTTTACACACTGATTAAACAACATAATAAAAAAGGAGAACTGCATTGCCAAGAGTGTAAACAAATAAACAAGCAAACAAAAAAGGGAATGCTAACTGTCCAGAAGCACAAGCTAATACTGGCCTGTAAAAGAAAGTACAATTTATATGCTACTTTGGTAGAAGTACATCATTTAGAAAAGAAAGATCATAATTGCACCATTTTCAAGTGTGGGCTTGAATATACTTCTGCGCTTCCCACTTGAAGTAAGACCCAGACAAGTCAACTGAAGAATGATGAAGCATTTATTATCTGAGATACAGTGGGCTAATCTATAGCTGTTAAGTCTGGAGAAAACCTCCTCTTCCCTCCTCCTAACTCCTGGGTAATAGCAGAGGAAACTCTGAGGCAAAGACCGGTTGGAAATAAGCTGATCTTTTTCCTGGAGGAGTTGGAGGTTCCACAAGAAGGGGCAGGGTAGATCATCAAAAAAAAGTGTTAGGCTCAGGTATCTCAGGCTTAGGTATCAAATCTGATTTCCAACTAAATGGGATGGCATTATAGTAAAGACTACTATTTAAAAAAAAATTGGAGGGGGCACTAAAAAATCTAACTAATACAGCATTGTTCTTATTGCTGTTATTTTGAAATCCCATGGGCACTACAATGCTCCATTTCCAAGGATGAAACACCATTCAGATGGCAATGACTTTAAAGTATATTTAAAGTGGCTCTAGTAAGGGAAACTTCTATTTAACAATGTCATTTAAAATTATAATTTACTGCTCTTAGAGCTTTACCAGAAATAGTAAATATAAGTTAGATGAACACAAGCATCTTTGATCAACTAAATCCTCATGATAAGCTTAAGTTGTCCTCTCCTTTAGGAATAGTTCTTTAGGGATCCCTGGGTGGCGCAGCGGTTTGGCGCCTGCCTTTGGCCTGGGGCGCGATCCTGGAGACCCAAGATCAAGTCCCACATCGGGCTCCCGGTGCATGGAGCCTGCTTCTCCCTCTGCCTATGTCTCTGCCTCTGTCTCTCTCTCTGTGACTATCATAAATAAATAAATTAAAAAAAAAAGGAAGCTCCATATGAGGAATTTCCTTAAAAAAAAAAAAAGGAATAGTTCTTTATAAAGGAACTTCTATCAATCCAGGAAAGAAAGTTCATAATTATGTCTTGATATCGCAAGTGCCCCCTCAGATATGATTCTCTCACCTGTAAACATTCTTTATACCACTGGATGACACTGATACAAATAAACTATCTAATATTATAATCTGAATATATGTCAATGGTCAACCAATACACATTTCATATCAACTATGCCCCTGCCCTCAAGGATTACATTCTAGAGAGGAGCTAAGCAATAAACATATAACATAATAACATCCGATGAAAAGACTAAATATGGTAGTAGTGTACTGATGTGATGGAAGCTGTTGTTTTAATTTAATTGGTGGAGACCACTCTAAATGAAATGTACTTCCTTAAACTGGCCTATCCTGACCATTCTAAATAGTAGACCACTCTACTAGAGACCTAGCAATCATGCAATGACTCTGGCAAAGAGTATTCCAAGTAGAAGGAAAGGCAAATGCAAAAAATTCTTCAGACCAAAATGAACTTCATGTGTTCATGAGATAAGAAAGAGGGGTGCCTGGGTGGCGCAGTCAATTAGGCAACTGCCTTCAGCTCAGGTCATAATCTTAGCATCCTAGGATCAAGCCTCACCTCAGCCTCTCTGCTTAATGGGGAGTTGGCTTCTCCCTGTCCCTCTGGCCCTCCTCCCTGTCCCCTGCTGAAAGGAAGGCAGGAAGGAAGGAAAGAAAAACAAAGAAAGAAAAGGCCAACATGGCTTAGTATGGTGAACAAAGAAGAAATAAAGGGCATAAAGATGAAAGGTCAGGGGATCAGATCATATAAGACAATGGAAGGCACAGCAAGGAATTTAGATTTTATTCACTTTCTTTTTTTTTTTTAAAGATTTTGTTCATTTATTCATGAGAGACACAACGAGAGAGGCAGAGACACAGGCAGAGAGAGAAGCAGGCTCCTCACAGGGAGTGGTGGGACTCGATCCCCAAACGGGGATCACGCCCTGAGCTGAAGGCAGATGCTCAACCACTGAGCCATCCAGGTGTTCCGATTTTATTCACTTTTAGTGAGAAGCAGTGGAAGATTTCAAGCCATGAACTAAAGTAAGACTTTGGAAGGCCACTTAGGCTACTTTGTGAATAAAAGACTTCATGAGGCAAAAAGTGTCAGACAGACCTGTATGTAGGCTGCTGCAATCATCTGGGCAAGAGACTATGGTGGCATGAATGACTGATGAGAAATGGAGATGACCAGGAGTTGCTGGATTGGAATCAGTACCTACGAAATCTTACTGATGGACTCTTTGTGAGGTATGAGCACCTAGGTGGACATCTGTGCTATATACTGAGATGGGCATGTATTTTTAAGTCTTTTGTGTGTTGAGAGTAAACAGACTTGTGAGCTGAAACCAAGAGTAATCTTCTGGACTGGTAAAATGTGAATGCCTAATTGATTTACAAGTGGGAAAGCTTAATGGGCAGTTAGCTCCATGAGGCCAGAACTCAGGGGCAAAGTCAGGGCTGTAGATAGAAATATGAACATTGTCAATACATAAATAGTTAAAGCCATGGAACTGAAAGAGATGACCCATGGAGAGAAGGTCCAGGATGGAGCTCTGGGCCCCTGAATGTTACCGGCCTGATGGAATAAACGGTCCCCAAAAAGGCAACTGAGAAAGACTGAGCGGTCAGCAGGAGAGAAACCAGGCAAATGTCACCACGCTGAAGCCTAGAGATGAGTGTTTCAAGTATGATGCCATGTCAGAGGACACTGGAACGGTGCAGGCAAGATGCAGCTCCCTGGTGCCCTTCAGAAAAGGCCCATCAGTGGAGTGGAGTGGGGGTTTCACAACCAACTGGACCATTTAGCTCCACCACTGGTGTCTTCATTAGGACCAGTTTTGTATCTATATTTTCATTTATTTATGAAATATGAAATATTTGGGGTAACTTTCTAATATTTTTGCTCACATATGCTCAAAGTAAACTGGACAAATATTGTGCAAGAGATCTTCAAAATATCTCATGATCACCTTTCTTAAACTGGACATTACAAAATGCAGCTATTTGCCATCACTACGTTTCTAACACATGACTGTACCTCTCATATCCAGAAGAACCAATCATTTACTCGCAAACAGTAAAAATAATTTACTGTAGCAGGTGATCTGACTTGCCATATCAAAAATTCAATGCAGCTTTTACAAACTAACTATAACTATAGTAGTCTGATTCAGTACTTCTAATGCCATACCAACTTCCTTTAACTTCTACAACTCTGTCTTCACCAAAGAGTGACTGAAAGAGTACTTATTAAACTTTACATCTTGGTAAAAATCACTTTGGGTGCTTATAAATACAGATTACAAAGGCACCCCTACAGGGAGTCTGGGTTATAAGGTCAGGCTGTTATTGTTGTTTTAAAAGTTACCTTTCTTAAAAAGCTACCATGGAAATTCTGACACAGAGAGTCCATGCATCATACATTATAAAACAATGACATAGAAGTTTAGGACAAAATAGCATATACAACAGCAAATCCTTGGAAAAATCATTTTTACCTAAACCCCAACTGAGTATTAGACTAGTTATTTCTTTTAGCTCTCGTGGTCATAGATTCTTTGGTAACTGTCAAGCATCCCTATGTGCTTAAAGTTAGTTCAAACATCCAAATTCATGACGTTTATTTTTTTCATACACTATGTGTACACATCTGCTTAAGTACATATTTATACAATGCTAGATATAAAAAATTATATATCTGTACAGCAGCCTTACAAAACTAATACCACTATCCTTGAATATGCCTTCATAAACTCAGAAAATTCTTTTAAATAGTTAAGGTCTAGGACAAGGGCTCACCTGCATTTCTGCAACTTGAATGTTTTAAGTGAATGTGGATAAGCTGATGTCAAAAGACCTACTTCAACAACTGAACTTGCACTGTATGTGTTTTTGAAGGAGTATAAATAAATCCTCATTTATCATTTTCTGCTGAATTCACACCTATATAAGGCTGGAAATTACATTTCCAACAGGCTTCCCATTCACCCTTGCATAAGAGCAGTTTCCTGATTATGTGGAAAACTCTTAAGATTTTCTCTAAAACTTATTTGAAGGTTGGGTAGAGAGTTTCAAGAAAAAGGAGAAATAAGACAAGTGATCACATTTAATATTTTAAATGAAGGAACAGGTAAACCACGGCAGAGGGAAAAGAGGTGGAGAGGGAAGGACAGTGATGATATAAAATTGTTTGAAATAAGAAATGAAATCAAGAATTAAAAATAGAATTACATTTTCTGTTTGGCAATACACAAACAACCCTAAGTGCACTTCATAAATTTTACTATTGTTGCTCTAAGTAATATTACCATAAATCACATTAGCAGTGTGCTCGGCATTTTTTAAAAGCAAAAAGGATTGAGATTGTCAATAAGTTTCAACAGCTCTGTTACCTCAGAGAAGAGTAGAGGAGAAATGATCACAAGCTTTTACTAGGCCTAAAAGCCCAGTTCCAAGGCCCCCATCCATGCCATCCATCTCCCTCTAGCATCTGTGCACTAGAGAGCATCCTTCCACCAGGAAGTAGAAAATGTTCACGGTTCCTTTCCTGATGCTTTTACCTGATGTGCAAGAGGAGAAGGCTGTTTGCCCCTTTTCTCATCGCGGACAGGAAAGAGAGACTTCAAGAGCTTTGGCATCTGTGGCACAAAGGATTTTACTGGATTCAAGTAGGAGGCCGCTAGGCTACTAAGTCCTGTCAATAATACAGAAAGGGAAAGAAGTAAAGGGTAAACAACAATGTAGACATTTTCTTTCCTACAAATTTGAGAAGTTTCATTTGTAGTGAACCTAATAACATCAATTCTTAAAAAGTATCCTTAAAAAAATATTAGAAAAACATATTATTATAGCTACCCCCAACCACAATGTTGTTTCCTTTTTCCAATTAAATAACAGCAATGAGGGTATTTCTAAAACATCCAATATCCAATGTTTCTATTAGTATCTGAAGGGTAATCCAATCCCAGTCCTTGTCACTAATTGGTTCATGTGCTAATTTCTGCCCTAGAATAAGACAGGTTTTTTTCATTTTTACATCATATAGCTAATGACACACATGTATTGTTCTTTATCTAGACTTTAACCTCTTTGAAGTCAGGGACTATGTCTTCTCCAACTTTAGCTTCTCATATCTACTTATTGAATAAAGATGATGAAATGGACCTTTTGTTGTTTTGTTTTTATATTTTTCTCTTTTTTTTAAGATTTATCTATTTGACAGAGAGAGGGAGAGAGTGCAGAAGCAGGGGGAGGGGCAAAGGGAGAGGGAGAAGCAGGCTCCTCACTAAGCAGGGAGCCTAATGTGGTCTCCATCCCAAGACCTTGGGATCATGACCTGAGCCGAAGGCAGATGCTTACCCAACTGTGCCACCCAGGAGCCCTGAAATGGACCTTTTGAAAAGAGGGTGGTGTCTGGGCTGTTTTCACAAGAAAGAGATCAAAGTCCTGAACCAACCATGTTCTTACCTACTCTAAATTACCAAAGGCTAGGAGCAGACATGCAGACAATGCCTATGATATAAGATTTGTTTCCCCTTAGTGAATAAAACTAAATTTTTAGGAGAATGTAATCTAACTCATAAATGATAAAACACTATATCCACATAACACTTTTAAAAGAACAAGCAAGTCAGCCTGAGGAATTTGTATGTGATACTGCCTGAACAGAAGCACATAAGCACCCACATACATGCCTCTATCCCACAATGACCCCTGAAATGACTCCAAGCTTATTGGTAATACACTTGGTATATGGACCCATACAGTTCCAAGGTTTGTACATTTTATATAAGGTAGTATAATATTAACTCTAAGTAGACAGTGAAAGGATGAAAGTATTTTATAATCATGAGAGCCATCACTAAAAACTTAAGGCAAAGAGATAAATGCCAAGAGATATGTTAAAACTGAGTCAAAAAGTCAAATAATCTACAAGGCAAAAATAGGAAAGAGAAAAACAAAACAGAGAAAATAAGTTTGAGATGAATAAAGAGCCAGAAGAACATAATCATCTAAATGCTAAAAGAAAAAAATAGGGACAATCTAGAGTTCTCTATAGAATAAATTAACATTCTACACTGAGGATGACCCCTAATTAAATAAAGATCTAGCCAGTAATCAATCAAATGCTGCATATATCACAAAGAGAGACAATCAGATATGATGTGTCTCCTGAGATAAATACACAAAACTACCCTTTCATTTATTCTACTTCCCAGCCCTCCCTCAAACTGGCCTGAATCTGTTCAAGACCACAGAGCTAACTACCAATTCACAGGAAATAAGGTAGACAGAAAACCATGTTTTAAAAACCTCATTGGGAAGGAACCAGCAAAAGTAAGAACACAGAGGGACTACTGTACAAAGACTTGGTCTCTTCAATATATATATAATGCATGGGGGGAAAAAGAGAAGAACATAAATATTAAACTTTAACTCAAGATACATATCAACTCATCACAATATATGAACCTTACACTTAGATTTTTCATTCAAAATAACAAAATATTTTTGATCCAACTAGAGAAATATAAACACTGACTAGATATTTGATGATATCTAGGACTTTTTTCAAGTTTTCTTTTTTCTTTTTTCTTTTTTTTTTTTTATTTATGATAGTCACACACAGATAGAGAGAGAGAGGCAGAGACACAGGCAGAGGGAGAAGCAGGCTCCATGCACCGGGAGCCCGACGTGGGATTCGATCCCGGGTCTCCAGGATCGCGCCCCGGGCCAAAGGCAGGCGCCAAACTGCTGCGCCACCCAGGGATCCCTTCAAGTTTTCTTAAGAGTGAAATGTTATTGGGGGTATTGCTTTAGAGATACATGTACAAATATTTACAGATGAAATGATATCTGAGATTTGCTTCAAATTAATCATTAGAGAATGTAGAGAAGTATCAGGAATAGAGATAAATCAGATTGGTGATGAACAGATCATTCTGAAGCTGGAGGGGGTACATAAGGGCACATTGTATTACTCTTCTACTCTTGTTATGTTTGATATATATACCATAAATACCATAGTAAAAGGATTCTCCAAAGTGAGAGCAAAATAAAAACTTCAACATATGAAAGAAAGGGTCTGTCACTAATAGACAACTGCTAAATGCACTGATAATGGGTATAATTCACAAAAAAGAAACTAAACTTAGAACAAAGTAAGATGCAAGAAGCAACGATGTGAGCAAAGTCATAAATATGTAAATCAAGTAAGCATTAACTAAAAATTTTTAATCTTTAAAAATTATTATTATTTTTTAAGTAGGCTCCATGTCTAGTGTGGAGCCCAACATGGGACCTGAACTCACAACCCTAAGATCAAGACCTGAGCTGAGATTAAGAGTCAGATGCTTAACTGAATGAGCCCTATCCAGGCACCCCATTACAATTTTTTTTAAGATTTTATTTATTTATTTATTTGAACAAAAGAAGAGTGAGAAGGAAAGAGAATCTGAAGCAGACTTCATGCTAAGTACAGAGCCCTACATGGGGTCAATCCCATGACCATAAGATCATGAGCCAGGCCAAAACCAAGAGTCAGATACTTAACTGACTGAGCCATCCAGGCACCCCACAATTTTTTTTTTTTTACAACAAATTTGAGGCATCTGGGTAGATAGTTGGTTAAGCTTCTGACCATGATCTTGGCTTAGTTCATGATCTCAGGGTGGTGAGAGGGAGCCCTACATAGGGCTCCATGCTAGGCATGGAGTCTGCTTAAGATTCTCTCTTGCCCTCTGCCCCTCCTCCTGTCCACTGGCACACACACATGCATGCTCTCTCTCAAAAAAAAAAAAAAATACAGAACTTTAAAACAAGATGGTACTCTATGACCTAGTAATTTTACTCCTAAGTATTAACTCAAGAGAAATGTTCACAAAAATGACTTGTACAAGAACAAACTTTATTCACAGTAGCCAAAAACTGGGAAACAAACCAAATGTCCACAAACAGAAGAACTAATCAAAAATTATGATAAATTCAACTGTGAAAATGAAGTTATTCTCAACAATAAAAAATAAATTACTAAAGGATGCAACAGTATGGAGACATGAACAGAAGTGATGAATAAAAGAAGCTAAACATAAAAAGAGTATATAATGTTATGATTCCATTTATGTGAAATTGTAAAACAGGCAAAACTAACCTGAAAGGATAAAAATCAGAATATTGGTTGATTGTGGAGAGTAACTAGAGTCATATAAATCTTGTATATCTTAATTGGGGTATAAGTTACACAGGAAAATACAATGGTCAAAACTCATTAAATTGGACCCATAGTCAAGAAAAACAGACCATGAAATGGCCTAGATACTAGAAAACCTTAAAGCAGCTTTTGTACACAGGTCCAAGGAAGTAAAGAAGAATCTGATCTTAACAAACGTACAGGTAGAGAATATCAGCAGAGAAATTGAAACTTAAAAAAAAAAAAGTGGAAATTCTAGAACTGAAAAGAATAATCAATGAAATAAAATATTTTCTGGATGTGCTTAAAAGAAGGTTGGAAATGGCAGGTAAATTACATAACCAGAAGAAATAAGAGTAAGATTAAAAGATGAAAAATACATTTCTTTAAAAAATAGCGCTTCTGTGACCAGTAGGGTAATATTAAGCAATCTAACATATGTGTAATTTGATTCTCAAATGGAGAAAGTGGAGAAAGAAGAAATGGTTAGGGGGAATAATTTAATGAAGTAATAGCTGAACATTTTCCTAAATTTGTTGAAAACCTCAACTTACAGATCCAAGAACATCAATGAAACGCAAGCAAGATAAATACAAAGAAAACCATACCTAAGTATATCATAATCCAACTGCTGAAAACAAAAATAGAGGAGCACTTGGGTGCCTCACTGGTTGAGCATCCGCCTTTGGCTCAAGTTGCAATCCCAGGGTCCTGGGATCAAGTCCCACCTCAAGCTCCCTGGAGGGAGCCTGCTTCTCCCTCTGCCTACGTCTCTGCCTCTCTCTCTCTGTGTGTCTCTCATGAATAAATAAGCAAAATCTTTAAAAATAAATAAGTAAATATAAATAAATAAATAAAAACAAAATTAGAAGAAAAAAAACGAACTAGAGAAAACTATGAAAGCAAACAACATAGCAGAGTAAACAGAGACATATTACATGTAGGGAAAAGAGACACAAATGATGACTGAGTCTCAGCAGAAAAGGAATCTAAAAGATAACATAACATCTTTGAAGTGCTACTAGTGGAAAAATCCTTCCAAAAAAAGTGAAATCATAATCTCAAAAGGGGAGAGCATTCTTCTCCAAGATAACTGCACAATAAGAAATACTACAGGATATTCTTTGGGCTAAAGAGAAATGATATCCAATAAATATAAGACTTCAGGAAGGACTGGATAGTGCCAGAAATAATAAATATGAAGAAAAACATAAAAGATTATCTATAGTTTCTTAATTTCCTTAAAAGACTGTGGCTGTTTTAAAGCAAAAAGAGGGGACACCTGAGTGGCTCAGCGGTTGAGCGTCTGCCTTCAGCTCAGGGCATGATCCTGGAGTTCCGGGATTGAGTTCCATATCGGGCTCCCTGCATGGAGCCTGCTTCTCTCTCTGCCTATGTCTCTGCTTCTCTCTCTGTGTGTCTTTCATGAATAAATAAATAAATAAAATCTTTAAAAAAAAATTAAAGCAAAAAGAGTAACATTGTAAAATGGGTACATAATGTCTGTAAAAGATATAACAACAATAATATAAAATAAGGGGGGTCTGGGAACAGGCAAATAGAATTATACTCTTACAAGATTCTTTTATTTGTGCAGTGGGAGGTGATATATTATTAATTCTAAGTCGATTATGTAAGTTAAGAACTCATACTACAGTCCTTGAGCAAAGACTTGAATAAACAAATACAGAAATATCAAAGAGCCAGAAATGTAAATAAAATTAAATACTAAAAAATATTTTTCAATTAACCCAAAAGAAAGCAAAAAAGAAGTTACAGTAGGGGAAAAAATAGAAAGGCCAAAGAGAAACCAACACTGATGAGGCAGACATAACAATAATGATATTACATGTAAAAGAACATGCCAGTTGAAAGACAGAAATTGATAGACTAGATAAAAAAGAAAAGTTAGACCTAACTATATGCTGTCTACAAGACAATCACTTTAATTTAAAGAAAAAATATAGGCCAAAATTTAAAAGGCTGAGAAAAATATACACTATTCAAACAATAAGCAAAAGACAGCTGATTAGAAGAGACAGATTTCAAACAGGATTTCAGAGCTACAAAGAGGCAGTTCATAATGAAATCACTTAATGAAATGAATATCACTTTATCAGGAAAAAAATAACAATCCTAAATATGTATATACCCAACAGAGTTACTAAAAGAATGATACAAAAACAGATATAATAAAGGGAAAAATAGGTAATTTTCATGATCATATTTGGAGATTTAACGCCTTCTGGCTCACTGATTGATGGAACAAACAGAAAAAATATCAGTAGAACAGAATATCTGAAGAACAGATTTGAACAAGGTTATCAACCACCTTGACCTAATTGATATATACAGAACACTATGCCCCAAACAGAATAGTTTCTTTTCAAGCATGCATAGAATATTTACCAAGATAGAACATAGTCTCAAAAACATTCCAAAAGACTGAAATATTGAAGTCTTTCAGATCGTGATGAAATTAAATAAGCAATCAATTAATAAAAAGAAGTTCCTCCCCCTTTAGACATATGAAAATAAATTAACATGCTACCCAATAACCCATGGGTCAAAGAATAAATCAGAAGGAAATTAGAAAATATTCTGAATAAAAACGAAAGAACCACATTCTAAAATTTGTGAAATGCAGACAGAAATAGAAATCAATGAAACAAAATAAACAATAAAGAAAGGAAGACCAGATTTGGCTCTGGGAGAAGACTGAGAGAATGAAAACATATCTCAAAAGTATTCATGAAAACCAGAAAGAAAACAAAAATTATCAAAAAATTTTTAAAAAGGAACATCACAACAGAGCCTATAAACATTAAAAGGGCAATAGGGAGCATTATAACATTTATTGAAATAAACATAAAAATTTAGATGAAACAAAATTTCCTGAAAAATGTAACTTACAAAAACTGACTCATAAGAAAATACAATGAGTTAAATAACCCTATCTTAAAGAAATTGAAGCCATAATTTAAAAGCTTCCCAAGGAGAAAATTTCAGAACCAGAAAGTGTCAGTGGTGAATCCTGTCAAACATTTAAGGAAGAAGTAATACAAAGTATATAAAATCTTTCAGGAAGAAAGATAATAAGGAAATATTTCCCAAGTCATTTCATGATGCCAACATAACCATGACACCAAAACCAATCAAAGGCATTATTATGAGAAAAGACAAGTAGATATTCATCATAGAACACACACACACACACCAAAATCCTTTACGAAATACTAGCAAATAGAATCAAGCACATGGGGATCCCTGGGTGGCGCAGCAGTTTGGCGCCTGCCTTTGGCCCAGGGCGCGATCCTGGAGACCCGGGATCGAATCCCACATCGGGCTGCCGGTGCATGGAGCCTGCTTCTCCCTCTGCCTGTGTCTCTGCCTCTCTCTCTCTCTCTCTATCATAAGTAAATAAAAATTAAAAAAAAAATAAAAAAAAAAAGAATCAAGCACATGTTAAGGATAAGACACTGTGATAAAGTGATATTTATCAGAAGGATGCAATATAAATTCAACTTTCAAAAATCAATGCAACTCAACATGTTAAGACAAAAAAGGGAAAAAGAGTCAGATGACTGTAACTAGCAGGTCAGTGGTTATGTGATAGGAAATCCTGATTTAAACTATTTCTGGAAGATGCCCAAACTTCATGACAGTGGTTGACAAGTGAAAATATAACTTACCTGGGTCTGGGGAATGATTATTTGGGGGACTGTCAGGGAGGGATGGGGCAGCCGGAGCTATTCCTCTGGAAACTACAGTTTGTGATACATCCTGTTGACTTTCCCATCGACCCTGTTAAATAGGACAAAAGCAGTGTTTTTATTCAAATAGAGCAGTTAACAGAAAAACCTAAAGATATTTAAGAAAAACCTGTCATCCATTATGAAAGCTTTACTCCCTTCACAGGATATGACAGGTTTGACTGTTTAAGTACCTATCTTCTTATACTTTTCATCATCAGAGTATCAATTTCCCAAATACTAAGAATACATCACACTGGGATAGTCCCTCCAGTTCAATTTCCAGTCTCCTCAGTTCTGTCCTAACATTCTTTCTATACATCATGTTGCTTCTCACAAAATATGGATATATGAAGACATTCCTTTTAAAATCCTCCCTTACGTTCTGCCTCATAGGCTGTTGCTGCTCGTCTACCTCAAGATACTGTCTCACTTCAGATTCTCAACTGAAACTGAGGAACAATCCTAACTAACACTGTGGGCCTCTTTTCCTTTCTCCAGGGTCTTTCTGTCCCATTCAAGTACTGCTCATGAAAGTAAAAATTCTAGAACAGTATATTACCAAGGCTCTTATTTTCAACAGATTATATTAAAGGGAAGTTCCAGTTAAGCACAAATCAAGTAATCACAGTTCCCAATAATGGAAGTCTCTGGACTAACAAGTTTTAAGGTACCCTCAACTTATTTTATAAAGTCCCATTAAAGAGATTTCACTGCATAATACAAGAACAATGCCAGCTGGGTGATGGATTCATCGACCAATCTAGAACGGGTGGTGAGCCACAAAAATGGTGATATCATCAAAGCACTTTTAACATCAGTCCCATCAGGTAAAGAAATAAACCCCAACCAAATGTTACAAACAAAACCGAGGTAATGGAGATGAGATGCAAATCTTCTAAAAGCTTCCCTCTTTGATCCTTTGATAATCACTCTGACTTCCTTTTCATCAGAGTTAAATAACAGTATTTTATATTAGTTTAAGCTGGTATTCCACAGATGAGTGACCCTAACAACATTTGAGTTTTCCTTAGTAATCGCCTGCAAAGCGATTCAGTGCTCCTAATGATGGATGGAGGTGGAAAGAAAGGCCTCTACAGTTTCAGATATGTATTGGAAACCTATCCACTTTTAGCAGCAACCTAAGTACTGATCATAAAATCAATAAACCTTAAGTGATCTGGATCCTGTTTACCTCCGAGAATGCCACTTTTCCCTAGGAACTCTCTCGGCACTTGATATATTAAAACAAGACAAAACAAAACAAAACTATGATGTCTTAGCATTAGGAAGCCAGGAAACAAAACAGACATGAAGAGATGATTTGGGAAGCATGAACTCCGAAATACTTCACTGTAGGAACATTTGTGTTACTATGAATCACACACTGATTTCCATACGTTAATGTTTCGTTAATGTCTTTTGCATTTAAATGTAATTGTCTGGGAAGGCGTAGCCTTGTGTTCTCTGGGAGGTCACAATCAGGTAAGCTAAACGCTAAGGTCAATACTCTTTGGAGCTTCTCAGAGGAAGAACTTCATGCTTTGCTTACAGCGTTAAACTCATACAAGGTTGTTTTGAAGACAACTTACTTAATTTGAGAATAAATCCATTTTTCTTTTTTAGATTTTTCTTTCTTGTTTGGCAGCTGTGGCACTCTGTTCCTTAGGCAAGCTAAGTAGCTGATTTGAAGTCAGCACCCTAGCCATTTGGTGTATAATGGTCCAGTGACAAATAATGTAGGTGTCATCTCTTCCCAAGGCGCACTCGGGGCTCCACTAGCTTTTTGGGTAATATTTCCCAGTTGGCACTCCTAAACATAATGTGACTAACAAATCAGAATGGAAGCCATAACTTTTACTGTCTCAAATATACAAATATCTCAAGTGAGAATTGAAAGGATGCACGCAGTTACACATCATCCCTCCTTAGCCAGACTGCTAGCCCTGTTGGATGATGAAAAATGGAAACACGTTTCACTTCATCCGTCCTACCTTAACCGTCATCTTAACCTTGAGGAATTTCACATGCTAACTGTTCCCAGGTCTCGCCAACCAAAGACCGGGACACAGAGTGTCTCAAATTGATCTTGAAAAGACAGACTGCTTCAGAGGGAACAACAAATTTGGATGATAAACTGGGTACGATGCTCCTCCCTCTTCCTTCTGACACCCACAGATCTCTGGGGAAACATTTTACTGAAATCATTCACTTATGCTTTTTTTCCTACAGTACATGTCCATTCTCTCGTCAGAAATGAAACCTGTGGTTCAGTGTCTAACTACACACACACTGCCCCTCGGAGACAAGGCAATTAGTGCCTTTCCAATAAATTTTACATCCCTGGCTGTTCCAGAGTTATTTTCCCTTTACTGAAAGTTGGAGGTGGCGGGGGAAGGATGCATTCCAGTTAAACTTCAAAGGGAGATGAACTCAGGGCAGTGAATAAAAAGGACTTGGCCAAACACTGGATCTTTCTGCTCTTATGAGCTCAGTTCTCAAACTGAGAAGAATATGGTATATATACATATAATGTCTGGAATCTGAAAAGATAAATCTGTGATTTCTTTCTAACATTCTGCATGTCTACCAAACTTCAGAAGCAGCCAAGATGAGGAAATACAAGAGGGAAAAGTCTGGCTTTGTTTTAAAGCCTTAAACTAGCTTCATACTTATTAGGGATTATTTGTGCTAACAGGCTGAATTCCAAAAAATAAAGCCCTATTCGAGATAGCAATTATTTGTAGCTGGCATCATATATAAAGACAAAATAGAACAGGGAGAAGCATGAGAGGCTCTCAGCTGACTTGAAAAGATGCTTTGGTCTTCCCCAGGTACCTATAGTTCTCCTGTTACTATTCTTCCCAGACACAAATTCTTTGGGTTTTCTTTTTTTTTTTTTTAAAGCTTTTTTTTTTTAAATTTTTATTTATTTATGATAGTTACACAGATAGAGAGAGAAGCAGAGACACAGGCAGAGGGAGAAGCAGGCTCCATGCACCGGGAGCCCGACGTGGGATTCGATCCTGGGACTCCAGGATCACGCCCTGGGCCAAAGGCAGGCGCCAAACCGCTGCGCCACCCAGGGATCCCGGGTTTTCCAAATTAAAAAAAAAAAAATTTTTTTTAATCTTTTAATTAAAAAAAATTTTTTTTAAAAAAAGGTCTGCTTTTGATCAGAAAAGTGCCAAAGAGGTAAAGAAAGAGAGGTGCCAGTTAAATCCCAGGTCCAAAGGTGGTTTCTAATGCAACTAAAGTGACTCATATTTGGTTCCAGCCTTTACTTGCGCCACACTAAATAATTGCAGTTTTCAGGAATGTGATGCAGCCAAAACACACAAAAATCAGTTTTGTTAACTGAATATTCATTTAGGCTTTTGGATACTTTTAACTGCATCAAAAACTCCAATGAGAAGATGATAAACACAGTATCTTACTAACTTACTAAGAAGTATAATTCCATTAAAATGGTTTTAGAAATAACATTTTTAAGTTGACAGTGTTCCTTGTACTGCAAAAGGAACAGCCAATTTTTTTTTTTTGGAACAGCCAATTTTTAAATGGAAAAATAAACAATCTGCTGAAATTAATTCTGCAGCTATGTCCATCTTGGTAGACTGGTCATAAAAAGCTTGCTAAGTTTTCATTATATCTATCTAAAAACTGCTTTATAATAATGATGAAATAAATATCCAATAACAGTAAATAGCAACATCACTGCAATTATACACATTTTTTTTTCATTTCTCAGTGCTCATCAAGATAAGTGTACTCTCAATTCTCTTTATCTATTTCACCCATTCCCCCAACCTACCTCCCCTTTGGCAACCACCAATGTATTCTCTATATTAAGAGTCTGGGTTTTGTAGTGGGGGGGGGGGTGTCTTTTTTTGTTTGTTTCTTAAGTTCCACATATGAGTAAAATCCTATGGTATCTGTCTTTCTCTGACTTCGTTCACTTAGCACTATAACCTCTCAGTCCATCCATGTTGTCACAATGGTAAGATTTCATTATTTTTTATAGCTGAGTAATATTTCATTGTATATTATGTATGTGCTTATGTGTGTATACGTCTTTGTGTGTGTGTGTGTGTGTGTGTGTGTGTGTGTGTTATACACACACCCTACCTCTTCTTTAACCTTTCATCTATTAACAGCCAGTTGGGTTGCTTCCATACTTCAGCTATTGTAAATAATGCAATAAACATAGGGGTATATATATCTTTTTCAATTAATGTTTTTGTTCTCTTTTAATATCCAGTAACAGAATTACTGGATCATATTGTAAATCTATTTTTAAGTTTCTGAGGAACTTCCATATTGTTTTCCATAGTGGCTGCACAAATTTCCATTCCCACAACAGTGCATGAGGGTTCCTTTTCTTCACATCCTCATCAACACTTGTTATTTCTTGTCTTTTTTATTTGAGCCATTCTGACAGGTATAAAGTGTTTTAATTTGCATTTCCCCAATGATGAGTGATGCTGAATATCTTTTCATGAGTCTATTGGCCATCTATCTATATTCTTTGGGAAAATGTCTATTCTCTGCTCATTTTTAATCAGATTATTTGGGGGTTTTAGTGTTGAGTTGTATAAGTTCTTTATATATTTTGGGTATTAACCCCTTAATGGGTATTTGATTTGCAAATATCTTCTCCCATTTGGGGGCACCTGCATAGCTCATTTAAGCGTCCAACTAACTCTTGGTTTCAGCTCAGATCATAACCTCAGGGTCATGAGTTTGAGTTCTACATCAGGCTCCATGCTCAGTGTAGCGTATGCTTAAGATTCTCTTTCTCGGGGCAGTCCCAGTGGCGCAGCGGTTTGGCGCCGCCTGCAGCCTGGGGTGTGATCCTGGAGACCTGGGATCAAGTCCCACATCAGGCTCCCTGCATGGAGCCTGCTTCTCCCTCTCCCTCTGCCTGGGTCTCTGCCTCTCTCTGTGTCTGTGAATAAATAAATAAAATCTTTAAAAAAAAAAAGATTCTCTTTCTCCCTTTCCCTCTGCCCTACCCCCTGCTCATGTTCTCACTCTCTAAAATAAATAAAA